AATAGTGTCAGCCTTATCAGGATAGGTCTCCCCAGACCGACCCACTGGCTGTGAACATTCTAAACTAACACGAGTCTCATTAAGTGTCCAGTTTAGTGGTATTGCACAGAAACATACCAAGGGAACATGAATTAGCAAACTTTGTTAAGAAAGTAGTTGTGTTCAAAAAATTTAGGCTCAGTTTGGAAAGAGTACAAATGCAAATATGTATAGTACAAATACATAAAAAATCATACAAAATACAAGATTTTGCACTCTACATATTTGTATTTGTTTTCCTTCCAAATGGAGCCTTAAGTGAAATTCCTTAGTTGGGACCAGACCAAGGTTTTAAAAACCGACCCGGAAATGGAATCATTGTGGCCACCGGTTTCCGAGTCAGCGGTTTGATCGTCCATGTAGAACAGTTCGGGTCAGTTGCATTATTAGGGCAAATGTAGTCTTTTGGACTTTTAGGCAATTAGGTTTTTATGAAAAAAGAGAGGTTGTGGTCAGCTGACAAAGAAAGAAAGAAGAAGGAAAGTACATCATTCTGATTGAAGYTAAGGGCATACAAAACTGTCCAACAGATCTGAGATCTAAGATTTGACATCTGATTTCTTCTTCTTGTTCTTCTTCTGTTGTATCTGCAAACCGTTGTCCAGGTCGAACAGGTTGACGATTCAACCGCCTGGGTCAGCGGTTCTCTGACCAAGTCAACGAGCTTTGTCCCAGGAATGGGTTAAGGGTGAAACGGAACCAGTTACCTGGATGGTTTCCAGGCCGAATGGTCCAACCATCTGGGTCTACGATGGTTCACAAACACTGGCCCAGACCATTGAATTTGTGTTTTGATAGAAAGGTTGGTCCTAAAAACTGATATCCAATCAACCAGTACAATTAAAGTGGTAACCAATCAACTGGTATTCATCAAAATTCATGGGAGGATTCTGATTGGTCGAAGGTTTTCCCTATCATACCTTTCTGGCATCATAGAAATTGCCCACAATATGGGTCCCGCACCATTTCAAGTGAGTACTTATATTGTTCAAGTAATTTATTTTTGTAATAGATACTTTTTTTTCTTTCTGATAGGAGAGATGACCATGTGTCTGAGGACTATGCTTGCATAGCATATATCCAATGTCAGCACCAGTAGAAGGATTTTATTTCCCTAGTAACAAACTCATTTTCACTTTTCAGAAGTTGAAAAGACCCCAGATAGCTGGGACCAACATTGGGTAATGATCCTTTATTTTTCTGAAGAGACTTGTGATCAATTTATCTTAGGCTATGCCCTTGTGTACTGACACAACTAACATGTTACTCCCAAGGTTCAAAGTATCAATATTGACGTGTCATATTGTTCCTTTGGGTTTCTGAAACTTTAAATACTACTACCTTTTAAGTTTGATTTATTTTATGTTATTTTATATGATTTGACAACATGTTTGACAAAATATCAGACAAAACATCCAAAAATATATATAGCTTTTGGTCATTTGAAACTCTTGATATGCAAGTTTTGCATATTGAGAGTATTGATACTTTGAACCATTGTCATTCCATATCAATTGTTGCATATAGAATTGATTTTGAGAACTTACTGAAGACAATCTCATCTATTTCTTGTGCTACTTTTTGAACAGTTGAACAACAACAAAGAAATTGGAAGTGGCGAACTTACTTCTGGAGGATGTTTTCAAGATGAAACTAAAATGTAATAATGAACTTTTGAAAGAAAAGAAGGAAAAAAATAGAACTTGTATCCTCTTTTTTGTAGTCTTCTTTTCTTGATTATTTAAATAATTATTCCTCATTAATTATATGACAGTGTCAAGCATATGGAACGAAAGCAGTGTGAACATGGATACATATCAGAAAACAGGTTATCAACTGTTGAATATCTACAGGGCCTAAGTTCCACTATGAATCTTTCTTCTTTCCAAGCTGTAGGTACAGAAACATCTTCAAAGGCAACAGACATCAAGGTAAAAGATCAAAGACAATCTGATCTACCCAAGATAGGAGCTATTCGACAAAAAACTCAAGTTTTAAATGGTGTTGGTGTGGAAGAAACTGTCAAGCCTGTTGGCCTTTTAGGTGATAAAGACTCCCTGGGCCATCTGCATCCATCTATTGCACTTCCTGGTATGATGAGCTACACTAGGAAAAGTTCAAATCAAATTGTTTAAGCAATTTAAATAAAACTAATAGATCGATGGTACATGACAGAACCAAGCTGCTGTGAACCAACTACTGGTGCTTCATCTGAAACTTCTTTTGAACTTTCAAAAAACTCGAACAATGCTACTTCTTTGCATAAAAAGTTCAATCATAGAGGCAAAGGTTTGGGGTCTTTGGAACCCATTGCTATGACAGTGAAGGAGAGGCTATCTTCAAATCAAACATGCACAAGTAGGGATGAAGATGACAACTACAAGGATTACAGAACGACTCCTGCAGTGTTGCCAATTAGTATTTATTCACAGGATCTCTGTCTGAAGGTAGGTATTTATCTTGTTGGTGTGCTATTTATGCCTGTTATCTTGTACATTAATTGCTATACTGTATCCTTCATATATAATCACCTTTGGACTCGTATCAATTAGAATAGCTGTTATTTCAACAAGGGTTCTTTTTCTCTATCTATATTTGTTGAGTTTGCTTAAACAGTATCTGCTGAAATGATGTGCAGAGGATTTCAGAAGACATTGTTAATGACATGGCTCCACTAGCATGTGTGACACCAGAGCCAATTGCTTCTATGAATTTTAAAGGAAGAGTATTACCTATTCGGTCAAGAAATGATGATAATCTATCCAAACCAATTTTAACAAAACCTTTTTTCTGCCCTCCTCATTTTCTTGGTTTATCCTTGCAAACAGAGCCTGCAACTGCAGCTAGTACATCAGAAGACCACTCCACCATATCTTCATTTCCAAGTTTTGAAATTAAACAAAAAGGTTCTGTTCAGGATTTGATGCCCCAAACTGGTTCAGACCAGTTGAGACACAAGCTGATGCTTGACAGCGTTTTAACTAGATCGAGAACATTTAAAGGAAGCCAATCTTCATCAGAAAATCTCAAGGGGTACACGATTGCATGGTCAGAAGAAGAATTAGATTATCTTTGGATAGGAGTAAGGAGACATGGAAGAAGCAATTGGGAAGCTATGTTACGAGACCCAAGGTTGCATTTCTCAACATGGAGGGTGGCAAGGGACTTGTCTGCAAGATGGGATGAGGAGCAATCCAAGCTTTTGAATGGTACACTAATTCAACCACAAAGGTTGATATCACAAGGCTCTCCAGTCTCTGGCAGTGGCTTATGGACTAAAAAGACTGCAGTGGCTAGCCATTATGGCAATTATTACACTGAGAGTCAGAGACTAGCAAGATCTGATGCGCTTATGGATGAAACTCAACTTTCTCTTGGAGATGTATATGTCCAAAAAGATAGAAATATCCCAAAGAAATATACATTCAATCTGCCCATCCCTAATCTTATGCCTCAAACAGTGGCAGTGAACGACAATCCAGACAATGTATCTTGTGTTACAAGTAATGGCATAAGAAATCCAGCTTCTCAAAAAATTGGAACCAAACAACATCAAAAGCACACAAGGTGCCAAGGGAATCAGTCACATTCAGGTAGCAAACATGCAAGATATGTTGAGGGGTTTCCCATTCTTCAGCAGAAACCTCTCGACCGAGCAGCAGGTCATGGACTGCAGAATGGAGAGCTATTCAATCAAGGAGAAGGCAGAGGAACTTCCAGTCATTCCTCATCCCCAGATGATGGATCTTCTTGTTTTCCCTCAAATAGCAATTTGCCTCATTGGCTCAAAGAAGTTGTCAGTGTTCCTTTAAGGCCAATGGAGTCATCTGTGCCTCCAGATATTTTATCCATGAAACAGTCATTGAGCTTGCTTTACAATGGCCAGAAACAGGTTGTCCTGCCTTTTTCCAGTCCTGATGCATTGTCAATCCAACAAAAAAATCCTCAAGGGCTGATGATGAGTAGAATTAACAAGTCAGGAAGCCTAAGGGCATCAGAATTGTTACCACATACTGCCAACTCCAACTTTTCCTTAATGGGGCCTAGATTAAATCATCATTCTGGCACAAGTTCAAACTCCTTAATGCCTGAATTTGAAAACCAGAATATCAAGATTGGTTTAGCCGATCCAAATCCTACATATTTACATCCTGTTACAACCAAACAAGATGGTTTGATCGTCATTGACAGTGATGCTTCTTCTGAAGAAACCATATCAGATGATCAAAATGGTACGCTATATAGCAGGTAACGGAAGCTTTTTAGAACCCTGAAGCATCAACTGATTTTTCAAGTAAATCCATTTTTGTTTTTCTGGTGGGTATTTTTCAAGTAAACTTCATTAATTATAGTCAGTTATAGAAGCATTCTGTTCATGATGCAAGTAAATTTCATGAAGGATTTCAACTCTCTCTATATAGGAAATCATGAAAGGGTTCTGTCAATAACCTATACAGTTACAAATGCATTATAATTGCAAATCGTGAAGGATTTCAACATCTTTTCCAGTCCAAGAAATCAAGATTCCATACAGGTGATGGTGATCATTCTGTTGATTGTCTACAAAGGATGCCCTATGCTGTCAATGGCAATCCAAACAAGTATTGGTGATTATATGGTTAGTATGATTTAAGCAACGGTATTGTAGGTTCTAAATGCTCTAATCCACTTGAGATGACATATTGGATGAACATCTGGGAGAAACCAGTGCCATAGCATGGAGTTATTGACACTGGACTCTGCTTCATCTTGAGGCCATTAGTTTTGCTAGGGCTTTTTGAACAAGTGACAGGTTTTATGCCATTTAGATTTTTTAAACCCCAACCTTTACTCAAGGTTTAGGGACAGCCACCTTGAAATTTTATTAACCATTACCAAACGGGAAAAACAAAATTACAGGGGAGGATGTAGCCTGCCTTGTCCCTAGCCCGGCTTACACAAATCTGTCCCTCACCAATTCAACAAAACCCCCTTGTAAAGAGAAAATACAAAAGCATAACTTAGACACCATTTCTAAACCCATGCACAGTAAGAAAGCTAGCCTATCCAACTCCTGTTGGAGGAATATTACTCGGGGCTTCTTCTCTTGTTTGACTCATGTCAAACGGTATCATCTAGCCAAATTAGGCACTTATACTTTCAATTTCTGGTTCACAGAGACCCTCCCCCCCCCGAAAAAAAAGGGAAAAAAGTAAAGAAACTTGTTACGATGAGCTCATAATTTTGTAAGGTACCGAGTCGAAGTAGCGTTTTCAATTCCTTTGTTAGCTAAGGCATCTGCTGGCTTTATGCCATTTAGATTGATACATGTTAAATTCGGATCTGGACGTGTCCAAAAAGGGCCATTTCCAAATTTTGGTCTCTGTAATCTAAGGGTCCATTCTCCACCACTGCGGATATCATTTTACCCCTCTAAACCTCGACTTCCTTGCAACTTTCAGATTTCAGAATGACCTAAGAAATGCTTTTCTTTCTTTGTGGACCTATTTTGCTGCAACTTCATCTTTCAGATGTCAAGATCATGTAGAAATATTCGAAACCCAGGTGGCCAGATCTTAACATCTTAACAGCAAACTGTTTCAGGATTGGGGAACACCTTTGCTGGATTTGGCCTTGACCCTGTTCAGGATGTGTTTTGGTGTGGGTTGCGATTTGCGAACTATGGATGGAATTGGATGACATCTCATCCCAATGCATGAAAAATGGGACCTCTACCCAACTTCTTACATGACTTGGAGGTAAAAAAAATCCCATAAACCACGAAACTGGATCCGATTTGAAGAAATAATCAAGGACTCATTTGATACAAGATCAAAAAGACAAACCCAAATTGAGAACCCACTTACAGATAATAATTTCCAAATCTAATTAGGAAATCCAGAACTGCAATCAACTTACGTTTTTATATTTATAATCCTAGAAAAAGAAATGAAAAGCGAATTACGTGGATTGACAAAAAAGTGAACAATGCTTGTGAACAAAATCAATCCTATCCACTAATCTACCTAAAAATAGTTTTAGGATAAAATCAAATTAATTCTTTGTAATGTTCGACTACAATAATTCTTTGTAATTCATTGAATATTTGAATTTGAAAAAAAAAAAAAAAGCTGTTTTAAGATACGTAGGAAAATGAGTCGAATGACTAATAGAATAATTTGGGGACATGCATGATACATCAGGAAAACTCATGAGGCTTAAATATGCATCAAAACTAAATATAAAGATGCGTTTGGTGACAGTGCAAACTGATTTAATTTTTGTTTCAAAATTTACCTTACTTTGTTAGATTACAATACAAGTAAACTAAGACCTTAAGGCTGTGTTTGGAAGAGGTGTAAAACGTCATCAGTGTAAAAATACACTGATAACGTTTTACACTGAACCATAGATATATATGATTGTTATATTTTAAAATTGATGTAAAAAGATGTTTAAGTTTTCGATAAAATCGATATAGTTTTTACATCAATTATCGATGTAAAGCTTTAAAGGTGATGAGGTTTTACATCTATCATCGACGTAAAACTACACTCCATCCAAATGCACACAAAACTGAATCGGAGAGTAGTTTTATAATAATTACTCTTTTACCAAACGCATACAAAAGCGAACTGATGTAAATTTTACATCGGTTCTTGATTTACATCGCATCCAAATACAGTCTAAGGCAAAAATAAAATAAAGTAAAACTTAAAGCAAAATTAAACTAAAATTTGCATTCTTTTCATTTACTCCTCCCATAATACAAATAAAATTGCACTGCAACCCACACAGCCTAAGGCTCAAATGACCATGAAAGAAGAATCAACATATAAGAAATAAGCGTTTTAATAGTGTTTTTTTTTTTCTTTAATATTCAACTATTGAAATGTAGCTGGAAAACTCGCAGACGGTTAAACATGAAGACTCGTGCAACTCAGCAACTGGAATCTTTTCAACTGGAAATACCACTGATTTAGAGCACAATCCATGTGATGTCCAAAATGCCTTGGGTATGTTGGCATTGTGGTGTTTGAATCTACCAGGCACCACTGTAGCTTAGTTGACACCACATGGTTTAGGAAACCGAGATCAGCTTCAGTGCTCACATCATTCAGTCTTTTACAGCTGTGCAATGGGAATATCTCCGTACTTGTATGTTTTTTTCATGGGGATAATGCAAGGACGGTCTTATAAGAACCAAATCCCATTTCTGAAAAGCCACACCACTTCATCGGGTATTTTGGCGCTATCCTGTGGGATGTGGATGCATTGTTAACAAATTTTTTACTTTATATAGTAATCATGTAATTAACAGTGGTCTGACTAATTCACAACATGGTGTATGCTATTTTGTATTTCAAAATTTCAAAGCATGCGACACTCCTGGAAGTATGCTTAATTAATGGGTGGGGGGAGTGTTTCAGAGTCAAGTAATCCACCCTCATCTCCAAAACAACTCCCAACCACTACGTGCACAAGGGTATAACCCCTCCCTACACAGTATAACTAATTGTAAATCCTAGATGATATACCAATAGACCTTTCTTCAACAGAACAAATGCTGGATATCATACGAACTATCTACTAAATTATTAAAGAAAGCAAATTACATGCCGTCAAAATTTCTTATTAACAAGGGCCATTACCCAATATTGTTCCCGAAAAAAATCCAGGGTCTTGGGAGAGGTGAACCTTATACGGACTTAACCTTGGAATCGAACCCATGAAAGTGGTGCTCTTGGACTCGAACCCAGTTCTCATGCTTGCCAGCTCGAGGTTTACCTTCGCACCAAAGCAATGGGCCCTTATTTAAAACTAATTACTAACACCAAAGATAATTGAAACTAAGAGCAATCAAAAGTGTTGTTCAGTGCCTGAAAAATCCTCTAAAAGAGACCCATTAAGACTCTCAATAGGTAACATTATGGCACACCAAACAGAGCTCCTCAGCAGCACTCTACAGTCTACACCATTGAAAAGTGGGTTCTGATCTCTACTCGTCAGTCACACAGCCCATTGACGCCGGTTGCACATTCTTGATGTACTGAAAATCAAAATTTCTCTCTATTAACAAAACACAGAACTTGCATTCATAACCCATCTGTTATTCATTAAATGAAATGAAATAATTCAGACCTTGTATAGGACTCCTCTATTAGCCTTGTATGGTGGTTGAGTCCATTTCTTTCTTCTTTCAGCCAACTCCTCGTCTGTTAAGTGGACATCCATTCTTCTCTTCACAACATCTATGGTGATGATATCCCCATTTTCAATCAAGCCAATTGGACCACCTTCCTGAAAACAGAGAGAAATCGCTTAAGATTTAGACAGAGCTAGTTGCTGATTAACATAATAAAAAAGATCCAAGCTCCTCTGTTTCAGATTATATATATTTGGGTTGGATGCCTTAGCAGCAAAACCAATGATGCATTAACTGTCAAAAAAGTGTAATATCATATTATTGCATCACATGCCATGCCAACATGCATAATTAGAACATATGAGGTGGATTCATTTGGTCTGCACTGTATTTGGATGGTTAAAGGGTTCTTGCAACTGGAAGAAGCTTGTATTATTGTACACAAGTACTGTGTTCAATTAAACTAAGGAATATCTTGTGAAATACGCATGGAAAGATGCATCATATACCAACTTATGAGGACAAATGCAGAAAGACATGCAAGTGTTTTCCCCTTTTTTCCATTGGCCACTAAGAAATCTTCTATAGAAAGATGCAGCATTTTTTGTACACTACATGATATCCCATTGTCCAAGCGATGTTCAGGGAACCGACCCGGTGGTAGAACCGTTTTTCCTCTGGGTTACAGGTAACCACCTGAGGGTAGAACCGTTTTGTACACTATGTGCAATATGCATAATTATATAAAATATACTTCATAATATAAATTATATACATATATTCAAAATATGTAATTAAATTTTGCATATCACATTTTTTGGAGAAAAAGTAACCAGAAGTTCTAATTTCTTTTATACTAAAAATTAAGATTGGAGGCCAAAAAAAAGGCATTTTTTGCAAAAATAGTGGGGGCAAGGCACCTTCGGCTCCTTGGGACGCATAGATTGCAAAAAATCACCTGAAATAACTAAAAAAAATGATCACTCCAATTGGATAACTGAGTGCAAAGTTATGTCCTCTGGAAGTTGGAAGTTAAAAATATGAATAAAAACATGCCAGTTTTATGAAAACAGGACTGGTTCACCAGCTCCTTGGTCAGAACGGCCGATTGGGTGATTTTTGTCACTACCTATTTTTAGAGCCTGGCCAAACCAACTGATGGGCTGGTTCACACTTCACAGTTTTTCCGGTCAGACCGTCCAGTCCAGTCTAGTTCTCTGAACACTGTGTCCAAGGGGCCAAACCAACATCTATGGAGCTGACTGGTCAGTGGTAGTCACTTGACAGGCACAAGCAGACCATAAACCACCATAATGGGATGTCCTACTAGCATCTCTGTTCATGGGCCAGGTAGCTTGGTGGGCTCGTGCTTAGGCTGTAAGTACCAGGCCCAATTATTTTTTGCTAGAGTAATATATAATAAAAACACATATTACCATTTAATATATTATTATTAGTAATATATAATAATATCATATATATTAGTAATATATATAAAATATATTAATAATTGTTAGACAGTTTGTATGCCCTTAGCTCCAATCAGTTTTGATGTACTTTAGACATTTAGTGTAAATGAATAAAGTGCATATTTGATTCATGTTGTGTGGTATGTTTCTGTGTAAGACCCTTAAACTGGACACTTAATGAGACTCGTGTTAGTTTAAAATGTTCACAACCAGTGGATTGGTCTGGGGAGACCTATCCTGATAAGGCTGACACTGATGTGCCGCCAAGTTGGTTGGGGAGGCTTGTCTCAGCCTCCAAGGTAAGACCCGAGGTACATGCAATGAGGGTTCAACTTGAAACCTTGAACCGGACCAGATTTCCAGTATTGCCCTGAACCGTGGTGATGAGTGGGCAAAACTGAAAAGTTACACCTGACCCCTAGACTCGATTATGATACTGCACTAGGTGGCGGATTGGGCTGTCTTTGATATGCCAATCAGTGAGATCCTTAGAGGGGGTCAAAACCTGGGTATGTTAGGATGGTTCATGAACCCATCTGAGTGGGTGATCATAGTGACAGGATCAGCCCCTTTGTCGGACAAAGGTAATGATCGGGGATGCACTCTCTCTAATGGAAACCAAAAACTGCCGGCAGCCAATTTCAACCGTTGGAATTTTGTTTTGCAAAATATATTTATAATGATATAATATATATGTACGGTTTCAACTCGTTTGCAAAAAGGTTTTAATCCCCAGGGTCCATCCTAGAGGAGAGTGCAGCACTGTTCCTTGTAGTCGAGGGAGAGGTCCTCTCTTGTCGGGCAGTGTTTTGGATCATTATGAGCTGAGAGGTTAAGTGTAAGGCCATTTAGGGTTATACCTGATGGGCTAATCTTGCATCTGCCCACAATCCCTAGGTTTTTATAAGATGACTTGGCCCAAGGACCACTTAGTGTAAGTGTTGGGCCCATAGAGTCCATGTGATGGGCTCAAGGGGTTCACTGGGTTTTTCAGTGAATTCGGCTAGGCCTTGTAACAGAGGTTGGGCCGAACCCATGTGGCTAATGTGTAGATCAATGCTTGGGTCCCACACCATACAAAGAAGCCCAACTGGGCAACAGTTTGAAAGCCTATTGAGCACTTGATGCACATTGGGCCTAAAGCCCATTTCGAACTTGGCTGATTTGATCAGTCACTTAAAGGGGCGGATCTGAGGTTAGGTCAAACCAAAAGGATTGGGTCTTAACCCTATCCACTCATGGAGACCAAATTCAAATTAGGATTTGAATCTGGTAACCTCCTGATAAGATTAGGAGTGGAACGATCTAATCTGCATATAGGATTAAGAAGGCTCCTTATCCAAATACAGATTTGGATTAGGATAACTCCTAATGAGATTAGGAGGTTTCTTAATCACTAAGAAAAGATGAGAAACCCTAATTTCGGATTACAAGAATTCGAACCTTAAGGGTATTCGCAGAACACACTGCAACTTGAGATAGGATCTCAGAGAAAACCCTAGAGAGAAGAAAGCTATTCGCCACCTTCTGCTCTAGCTCTCTCCTCCAGCAGCCGCTGCCATCTACTGCCAGTTCATTTTCTCTGTAAGGGAAAGATCAAGAAAGGTTCTTGATATCAATCTTTGCTGAAAGGTTGATCATGTGTGGTGCTCATTGCTTCCATCGAGTTCTTCAGAAGGACCTGGTTCGTGGGACGAACACTGTTGGTTCTACTTCATTATCACTATGTCATCTTCAGTGGGAGCGGTTCATGGGAGTTTTCTTTGGGCGTGAACACCGACATTGGGAGATACTGTTTCTCCGGATCAGGTATATCCCTTCCCTTCTCTTTTTGTTCAGATTTGGTTCGGTTTTGGTTCAAGTCAGATCCTTGAATATTGTATTCTAAATTTTAGGGAATATGATTCCCAGTTGGATAAAAGGTAAGAAATTTTTGAAATTCGCCCACCAATTCCACACCCTTTTGGCGTCCATTTGATGGATCTTACCATTCTTTCAATAATATATAATAAATTTTGCTTGGATCTCAAGTTTACTTCTTCCTATTCAGACTAGGCTTCAAGCTTTATCTTTGGGCTGGGCTTGTTCAAGAATAGGCCCGACAATTGAGCCAAGCTCAGGCTTGGATATTTTCTGTTGACAAGTGATAAAGCCTGGCCTGACCCCAGGCCATAACAGGTCTATTTAAAAGGAAAGCCAAGAATAGTAGATGTCCAAGTCCCTGGCACCAATATGTAGCATGGAGTATGCATGTTCAACAGATCCCCTTAGCTAACACCATATAACCTCCTTGAGCTGCCAAGAGAGCCAATAGAGCAAGCCAAGAAGTTGTTGTAGCATCATAGGTATCCCTGCTAATTGCTAGATGCAATCCTAAAGGATCTTCCATTTGTTTGTTTACAAGTAGGTTGAGAAGGGCTCAAAAAAGGTTCATAGGATGGGCATACAAACCCCAAGAACTAGATTTTTAGAAGCTACCTGTTAGCTCAATGCATGAAAAGTGTCTTAACTTCTAAAGGAAGACAAAAAAAATGCTATTAGTATCCTTGATGCATGAGAACTTGGATACCATTCTTAAGTCATAGTCAACTTGTGCAACACATTCAGTGGCAGATGTCTTCTGGACAGGGCCAAAAGAGGCAATTCAATCATGTGGTAGAAATTTGATACACCATAGGTCTTTTAACTACAGAATGAGGAACAAGAGTAATGGATAAATAGAGAAACAACAGGACAACTGATACACAGACATCACGATCCCAGTTGGCACAAGCAGTAAACACTCCCAGATTGACTAGTCAAACTCAACCAAGTATTCCAGATGATAAGGCATTTATTTATCTAACTAGTTTCAAGCTTCACCAAGTATTTTGTCCAAATAGTCACTTCTCCTCTCCAACATGCCAACAAGGTGGAAACCATGAATGATGCAAAATATATAACCAAACACTAAAATGTCATACAGAAAGGATGAAGATGACACTAGTTAGAGCACCTGAGCTTCGGGGCATATGTGTCCAACAACATATCCATGTGAACCTCCTGAAAATCTACCATCTGTCAATAAAGCAACATCCTGCATAGTTCAAAGTAGAGAATTAGAATCAATGTTGTGACTTCAAATGAAATAAGAATCTATATTGTCCTAGACCAATGAAAACAATCTTTGGTGCAAGCATGTTACTACATGCTTTTACACAGAAGAAATTAAAAATGTTCACAAAAACTCATATCCATGGCGATTCACATACAACTAGTCTGAAAGCTTTCATATTAAAAAGTTAAAATATAACTTACAGCTCATCTAATGCACTGAAAAACCTTAAGAGGGAACAACACTAATAAAATTCTGGACCGAGGGAGGAGGTGGGTAGAGGATCTCCTATACCCATAAACTTGACCCCCTACAAGAGGGATGACAGGGAGATTTTTTGTCAAGCCTTTCTCCCTATGTCCTTGCCTTTATACAGAACAAAAATAAATGCTGACAAAGTACACAATTAAATAAGTTAAATGTAGTAGTACCTTCCCAAGACCTGCTCCCATTATTGCGCTTGTTGGTGTTAGCATTTCAGGCATGCCTGGACCTCCCTTGGGTCCCTCCCCTCTAATAACAACAACTTTTCCCTGGAAAATGATATTAGATTATATAAGCAAGAAACGGGAGTTCCATAATTAAGTATATCATTCCCTTTACCCAATAACAATCTTTTTCCCCATTTTACACTTACTACAGGTAGGGATGATATAAGTGAATACAATTATAGTAACAAACTGAAGGTCTGTTTGAAAATACCAAAGTTTCAAGCCCAAGCAATACTCACATTTCAGTTTTCTTTTCTTTTCCTTATTGATAACTTCATTGGCCTACACACTTGGGCCTAAATTCTGGAATTCCAAAGCATCCTCTTGACCTATATCACTACAAGTTCAAGCAATAGAAACCTAGAGAAGGATGAACACTGGGCACTGCTAAAATAGGGCCAGATTAATAGATTTCATAAAGTCTAACATGGAAATGCCTAAGGTGGAAAATAGGTGAAAAGATGTCAAAGGGCTGTGACCACCTCTAATACAATAGGAATAACTATCCCCTTATGAAATCTTTCCTCATTGAATGTTACACAAACATGCATCATGTAAACAAATACACCTACCAATAAACACACGGGTGCAAGTTGGGTGGGCTGGGCTGGGCTGGGTTTTACATCTACCCAGGCACCCAAGAATTGGGCAAAGCCCAAGCCTGGCCTGAGCCCAAGGTCGAGTCCTAACTAGTCATCCAGAGCCCAGCCCACACTAAAATTTGATGCACTCGGGCTGGGTTTGGCCCCGGGCCGGGTTCGGGTTGGGCTCAGGTTGATCAATCAGCCCGCATTAAAAATTGATATACATGTGTGTGTGTATATGTATGCATGTATAGTTTATTAAAAATGTATACATATATTAAAATATATACATATATGCATGTATGAATGGAAACATGTGTCTACTTATGCACATATACATGTGTATAATTGGGCTGGGCTCGGGTCGGGATAAGGTCAGGCCAGGTTTGGGCTCCTAAGGGCTAGACCTGAGCCCAGCCCAAAAAATTTAAAAGCCTGAACTTTTGGGCCAAGGCCCAGCCTGAGGGCTGAAAATTTAAGCCCAGTCCATGTAAAATTGCAGGCTGGGTCTGTTCAGGCTTGGGTTGGGCCTGCCCAAGTTGCACCCTACACACAGGTTATAGACCCCTACTTTGAGGCTTGAGCCTAATTGTTTGATGTATAATGTGCCAAAGCAGTTGCATATTGTTGCATCTGAAAAGCAACATATTGAAAATTCATTAGCATGTCACCCATTTTTCACCATGCTGCTAGAGCACAAAGCATAAGGAGAAACCAATACCTGCACTCACACTGCTGAAATCAATGGTTCCACAACCCAAAATACAATTCCCAGTTTATACCCTACTGCAAAATGCTTATTAACTGCTTTCCAACAAGCTCAAAAGTTGATTACTTTCTTTCCAGCCAGTTCTAAAGTTTAAAAGACTCCCCCAGTCCCCCCCATAGAATCCTTTGTGGAACCAAGACCTCCTTCATTGACCAAACCAAGCATGCAAGACTCCAAACAGGACAGGATTCTTAATGCCCATCCTAGGAAGTCCACATCTAAGTGATCTTTCTTCTGAACTATTTTTCTTGAATACTCAGCATTTAGCACTAAAGTGCTGATGGTGCCTCCTATGGAGATGGAGTACCTAGGAAACTTCAAATAAATATTCTTCACGGGGTGGCTACAAAAGACATTTTTCATCTCCTATCCAATTGATGTTAAGAAAATGTTGGCAGAAATGCAGTTAGAAATTACGTAATTACAAACAAGGATTATTGAAGCTCATAAAAGAGAGACCATCAAAAGAAGCAGCATGAACACAGTAAGAAATGAGGAACCATAAAAGAAATCTTTCCTACAATTGTTAAAATTTGTCATAAAAGAAAGAGAAAAAAGCCTAGAGAACCAATGAGTTTGCAGGGCAACATAAATTACTGGAGAACATGCAAATAGTGGTAGAAATAAAATGCATTATTAGGGAAAGCGTCAGAATTTAAGGTATTATAAGACCAATATATACAAAATGTATTGAATTTGTAATCTCATGATAGTGAGATTATCCCTCATGCAGACAGTTTCATCAACAAAGAAAGGATTGTGCATATAATGAGCATGTCTTCAATGTATGAGTGGTAAAAGTAGGACTTATGACTAAAGCCTCAATGGAAAAAATGACTCTGATAGAAAAGGTGACAGAACAAGTGTCATAGACCATAAATAATTGGGACAGAAGTTTGTAAGGAACCAAAGACACAGGACTACTTGAACAAGATGCTCACCATCAACAACCTGGTCAGGATGAGCAAGTTTATTGCTAATGTCTCTTCCTTGGAGTCTGCCCAGCAGTTGCAAATTGCAAAATGCAAAATGCAAATATATTACAGTTTTCCTCTCTCAACTTGGTAGCACTTCATCTGGCTTTTTGGGCATCAATGGGTCACTCCTGAAGACCTGGTAGATTTGATGAGGCAATATCCATCTAAAGGCTTTTGTAAGAGGAGAATATCTAATGGAATTTAACTCTACTTTCTATCTGTTGTAACATTTGGAAACAAAGGAATCACAATCAGGTATTGATTGGTCATATTGAAAGAACTGTTGTTGAGTGGATCTCTATCCTGAAGGAAGTTGGTGATCTTTAATATTCCAAGTTCTGTAACAGGTGGGGTTGAATTATTTATCAAAAAAAAAACAGGTGGGGTTCAATTTTACTTGGCTCTTGAGGGGTTAGGTGGCTGATCTTTGCTTTCTAGCAGTTCAGCTAGCTTATATCTAATTTAATTATCAAAATAAACAAAGAAACTACAAATAGAGATATTTTGACAAAATAATAAAAAATAATCTCATACACTACTAGTCTACTATCAATTAACATTCTATTGAAGAGAAAGGTAATAACACATTCACAACAATGCTCCAACAGCTTAAACAGTTTTTTGACAGCCTAAACATCACGTATTGATCACTAAGGTCCAATTTCCTTCCCTAATCTGAGAAGATGTTTATCTAGAGAGATAAAACATGCCAAAACATGTAAATGGACAAACCATATTATTAATAAGAGGACACAATTGTCTCAGAGAAAAGAAGAATGGCTCATCAAGCAAAGCATACATATACACCCCTAAAAGTAATCCATCCACTCTATACTCTTTCAGCTTTAAAACCAATTCCTTGGCTAAGGAATCCATCAAAGTATTGCAGAGAGAAATCCAAACAAACACACACGGTGTTCACAAGAGAAGCCTATGCAGACACTTCCAAATATCAGTCTAGGCATTTTTCTCTAATCTCATGGTCAGGTGATTATTTTCTAATCTGGCAGATTAACTGCCTAGCAGTCTGTGGCATCATTACATCTTTCATTTGCCTTTCCAGCATGAAATCAGAAAGTTTCTAACCAATATGTTCTTTAAATAGTTTTCCAAACAGAGCACCAAGATATTATCTCAACCATTAGCAAACTTTAAGAGAACCATAAACCCTTTTGACTTTCAACATAGAGTTAACTTTTACATATAGGGCAAGCTAACCAGTATTTGTCATACCTTAAAACTCATAGGATTCTCAGATATAGCTGCTACCATAGCCTCTTCTCCTTCGAAAACAAGAGCGGAACCTGTAACGCACTTGTAGTTATTGTCTATTCTATGCTAGCAGATTTTGACATACACTTGTAAATACGACTTCAACAGAAAATATGAATGCAGAAAATAATATGAATTATGAGATATTATACCAGAAAAATATAACCCTTCTTTTCCAGTTATCTTTGCCACAGAGCCCTCTGGAGCTAGATTGCCATACAATATCTGGATGTGGCCTGTTGCCTTGATGGGGTTATCTAATGGCCTTATAATTTGCTGTGGAAAAAAGAGAAAATCGAGAATATGGTAGATGTATTTATACTCGAACTGCACCAAGGACAGAAGAGAAAAACAATCTGTACATTTTTTGGATATTTACTGTCTTACTTGCCCTTCAGCCAAAGCAGGGAAATCTTTTGCATTTTCTGCCAATGTCTTCCCAGTGACTAGAAAAAAAAAAACACATAAATCAAATTCATGATAAAAAGGGTATAGACACCCACAACAATTAGGAGCATACCGGTCACGCAATCCCCATCTAAAAAACCTTTCTCCAAAAGGTAGCGAATGACTGCAGGTGTTCCTCCAATCTATAAGCAAAACAAAAAATGACTTGTTAAGTAAAAACTTAAAAAAATGAAGGAAAAAGAGTGCACTTCCAAATCAAACAAAATTGGAACATAAAGAAAATGCAATATTCCTCAAACCATGCAATACCAGAAACCTTAGTATAACGCTAAGAAAATGATAGCAGGCATATTCATTATAAGTTTACAACTACTTGCATTAAGCTACCTTTTGTACATCCTCCATGACATATTTTCCACTGGGCTTTAGATCCGCAAGGAATGGAACTTCATCGCTGACCTTCTGAAAATCGTTGAGAGTTAAATGCAAGCCAACAGACCTGCCAATAAGGACACACCATGAGAAAACATTAGATGATATAATTCAAGATACGCTGGGAAACTTGCACCATACTCCACTCACCTAGCAATGGCAATGAGATGTAGCACAGCGTTAGTAGACCCACCAAGGGCCATAACAATGACCATTGCATTGCGTAATGATTTCTCAGTGATAATATCCCGTGGTTTCAGGTCCATTCTTATTAATTCCAAGAGATGCTTTCCAGCTAATTGACATTCAATCAGCTTCAATGGATCTTCTGCAGGGGTAGAAGAGCTTTTCCAAATATGAAGAGTAATGGAGGATTAGTTACCACAGCATCCAAAGACAATCCTGATAATGTCAAGAAACAATACATATGGACTTGCTTGGAACAATAATCATGACTGTATTTTCTACCTGTAAGGAAGTGACATTCCCATTGCCTCAATTGCTGAAGCCATGGTATTTGCTGTATACATGCCACCGCAGGCACCTGCTCCAGGGCATGAATTTCGGACCACATTCATCCTTTGGTCATCATTTATTGACCCACTAACATACTCACCATAACACTGCAAAGAATATAAACAAAAAATGAAAAGCATAGCTAGAAAATATAGCTTCAACTTTGAGTCTGATGAAATGCAGATGGATGATTAAAGTAGTAAGCATACACATTGGAAAGACCCAAAGGTCAGTTGCATTTGTTCATCAGAATATCTGTTTACACTACATCATCTAATATGAACTAAGAAATACAGTGAGGTACAACTGAAAAGACCATGGAGGGGTGTGTAGAACCGAAGTATGATTGCTTGCTGCAAAAGCCATGTACTATTGGTAATTAGTAAGATAATTAGCAAGGAAACTCGCCAAGGAGGCTTCAAAGGAGCTCCTGACAGAAGATTGACAATCATAAGAGCATTCTCTTCCACAACCACAGGGATGGCCTTAAGTAAAGGTAATTTGATATGGATTCAAATCATAATATCATACCACAAACACCAAATTATAAGAAAAGACGTGAACTCTATGATAAAATTCAGAAATTAGATTAACATTAGAGGAAACTTACATCTATCAAAAAAAAAACATTAGAGGAAACTTACCTGAAAGGCAGATACTATATCATAAGTATGGCCTTGAAAATGACCGGGCTGCAACAAAAAAGAAATACAAAAAATAAATAATAATAGTAAAAAATCAACAAAACAACTAGATGGGCATGAAAACAAGACAAAATTATTTAAAAATCCTTCCCAAGCTTGATATTTGCAAATTTCAATAATTCCAAAAAGACAGCCTTGTCATTGCTATTACCCCATTATGACAAAGAGTTCTGTGTATACTGCAGAATCGGTCTTTTAGAAATGATTGGATGCACAAGCCTCCTATGGAAAATGTGAAGCCTTTGAACTATCACCGTTTTTATCACACCTTACTTAGAGATATAAAATTAGAAATACTTAAAATGCTTGTGGAAAAGCAAGAGCCAAACACATCAAATAGTGCATTTAATTTGACTGGAGAAAATGGGAGTAGCCATAGCTTAACTTCTAAAGTTACTACCATAATCTTTCCTAAGGAGCAACTACGTTCTGTCACCCAAGTAAAACAAAATGCAACAAAAAAAAAGAAGTTTTAAAGGGATGATGCTCAAATAAACCAATAGTGAAAACAAAATGCAACAAAAAAAAAAAGAAGTTTTAAAGGGATGATGCTCAAATAAACCAATAGTGAAAACAAAATGCAAATAAGCTACACCAACAAAATTCAACTTCCAATAGTTGAGGCAATTGGTTCTAACCTTGATTGTTCCACCATAAACCATGATACTTGGTCGATTAAGTCGTCCCATTGCCATAATTGTACCCGGCATCTGTCAATAATGAGGATCAGATTAGCATTACAGAAGTAAAATAAACCAACTGGTGGATAAAAAAATGTATGCCATATTGCTAAGAAGACTCTGAAAATGGACCATAGCTGAAACATTATTACTGAAATTAATATGTCTTATTTTTCGTAAGAGGAAACTGAGATACTAATTGGCAATAGAATTAACACTCTGGACTAATGCATCTTTTATACAGAGGATGATCACTGCCGTGGCACAATTAGAAAGCAGTAACAGAGTGGAATAACAATAGAATGACCCGTTCTCTTGAGATCTAGTGTGCCACAAACTAAGAAGAAGCCAAAAAAAGGGAACAACAACACCTATATTTTTCCTTCTGGAAGAAATACAAAAAAAAAAAAAAACTTACATTCTTGTCGCAACCTGGGATAGAGATGTTGCCATCGTACCACTGAGCAGACATGACGGTCTCGATACTATCAGCAATTAAGTCTCGGGACTGTAAACTATAGCACATTCCCCTGGTGCCCATGGAAATGGCATCGCTGACTCCAATCGTGTTGAACCTGAAACCAACCATCCCGGCCTCCCTAACGCCTTCCTTGGCGGCCTCGGCGAGGCGCAACAGGTGCATATTGCACGTGTTACCCTCGTACCAGACCGACGATATCCCCACCTGGGGCTTATGCATATCGTCGTCGGAGAGGCCGACGCCATAGAGGATGGCCTGAGAGCCGCCCTGGGACTTGGGCTCGGTGATACGGGAGCTGTACTTGTTGAGCTTGTGGTGGTGGGGAGGGGACTCTGTGGTGACAGGGGGAGGTGGAGCTGTCTCTGTCGTGGAAGCGGAGGTGGTGTCTAGAGAAGCCCGGATACAAAAGGGGCGTTGAAAGGAGTTGGAGCGGTGGCGGAGAAATGTGAGTTTAGACGAAGGGCCACCAGCGACGGCGGCGATTGTGGAGTGGGGCGGCGGCGATAAGAGAGCGGCCTGCATTGTGATTAAGGGTTTTGGGAGGGCTTATGGGATTTGGTCGTAAACACACGTCATACGGCTTTTTGAGGTCCTCGCAGACGCAGAGATAATGGAGAACGAGTAATCAATGGTATTATTTTTTTTTGGGAAAATAATACTTTAGGGCGAGTGCCAATTTAGTACCGAGAAACGCGAAAAACGCGACAATCTAATGCGACAATACGTTAACTCACCGTTATTTAAACATTTTCGTAATACCAAAACTAACCTTTTCCCTTTCTACTCTCTCATTCCGAGCACACTTTACTCAACTCCAGCGTCGCATTTTGAGTGCTGGCTTCACCCAGCGCAGTACAGGACACGGTTGTGCAAGTGGGAAAAGACAGATCAGTCCATGTTTAACGTGAAGAGGCATGGCGGCTCCATTTATGACGCCTGGTTCAGTTGCGCTTCGAATCAAGTAAAACCCACGAAGACCCAGATAATAAAAATGAATTCCATTAGCTCCTTTTCTCTATCTTGTCTGAGGATTTTCAATCTTGTCTTTCATTACAGGTAGCTCAGGTGCTGTTAACGCTGCCATATTCGTTCTCTCAGCTGGGAATGCTCTCAGGCATATTATTCCAGATATTCTACGGCCTCGTCGGTAACTGGACTGCTTATCTCATCAGCGTCCTATACATTGAGTACCGAAGTAGAAAGGAGAAGGTGAACGTGAGCTTTAAGAACCATGTGATACAGGTATCCTTCCAAAATAACATATCAAAGAAAGCGAAAAAAAGAAAATCAGGAGTTGCAGAAAATTCATACTTCGCCTTCTTAATTAATTCCACTAGAGCATACCTACTGACTACCGTTTGTCATTTCAGTGGTTCGAAGTGCTTGACAGATTACTGGGTCCWTACTGGAAAGCTGTGGGACTGGCCTTCAACTGTACATTTCTCCTCTTTGGGTCCGTTATACAGCTAATATATAGCTTGCGCAAGGTGAGCTTTTTCTGTTTTCATTTCTCTTGCATAGTTCCAAAAGCCCAACAAAGAACAAGAGCGCTGATTTGATTAGCTGATTTATGATGGGTTCGATGATGGGAGCAGCAACATATATTACATAAACGACCGACTGGATAAGAGAACATGGACGTACATCTTCGGAGCTTGTTGTGCGACGACGGTGTTCATACCTTCCTTCCACTACTACTGGATTTGGTCTTTTCTAGGGCTTGGGAAGACCACTTACACCGCCTAGTATTTGGCCAAGCCCAGCAACAGCWACTCTTGAATGATTTGTCATGCTTCTCTCAGCCACGTCTTAGTTCATCCACTGTTAACAGATCTGTTCGTTCCAAGACCCTGACCCCTTCAAACC